AGCAGCTCAGAGATGACTTCCTGTCTTTTGGAAATGCATATTCCATTTGCTGTTCAGTTTCCCAAAATAGAGATCTTAGTCATCAAGAGGCCAGGTTCCCAGTGTCCTGAGGCTTGTGTCCTTTGGGGGTGGGGGGGCAAACATGCTAATTTTAGTTGCTTTTCCAAGGGCACTTTCTAGAGTGCGGCCTCCAGGTCGCTCCTGGCGGTTTCTCCATGGTATCCATGCACACCATTCAGACTGCGCTGCTCTCTCACACGCATGTTCTCTTTCCCACACACTTGCACACTCACATCTATCTCTTCCTCACACTCGTTCTCTCTCGTGCTCCCACACTCCCATGCAGTCTTCATAGGCTTGGTCTCTCTGCTTCCCATTGCTTCCCTGTGCTCAGGGGCAGGCTGTGCTGCACCTTCAGTGCCTGACACATGGGGACCCCCCACCTGGGCCTTCTTTCTTGCATTCAGATCTCTTTTCTTTTCAAAACCCAGCTGAGTCCTGTCCACCCACGAATCCTGCTCCTGCCTCCCTGATGATTTGTTTCTCTGAACTTCAGCAGCAGTTAAGTATATCTTAGTCATTTCAGCAGGGCTCGTGTGGTATGCCCTCTGCTGTCTGAAGAGCTTCACTTTCTTAGATTAAAACTGCCTTGTTTTATATTTTATAACACCCCATAGTTGATAGTTAATATTCTTTTGAGGTTTTATCCTAGACAAAGTAATTAATGAAGCTGTTTTTCTGATGGTTCTTAGACAAATTGTCAGAAATAGTCTTTGCTCGTTTGATTTACGTTTATGTCATTTGTGCTGTGAGTATAGAAAATTCCTTGTCTGGGGTTCAAGTAGAACATAAAACTTCAAAAGTAGAAGGATAAGTGTGCTCCTTTGTGATGCTTACTTGGGATAGGTTTAGTCTTTTGACAGTAGTGAGGAAGATCTTAATTGCTGTTTCTAAGGGATTTCTAAGTAAGGGAGCCCTGGGGTAATGGCTGTAGCAGCCTCCTGGTATGTGGTCACAGCTGCGGTTAGCCACAGAGATAGTATCTTTTAAATAGAAACTTTAGTAGGGATTTTTCTAGTATTAAAGTTTATTCTTAAAAATTTCACAAATTAGGGCCGGCCCAGTGGCGCACTGCTATAGTGCGCCGCTTGGGAAGCGCGGCGGCGCTCCCGCTGAGGGTTCGGATCCCACATTCAGACCGGGCGCTCACTGGCTGAGCGAGGTGCGGGAGCAACACCGAGGGATGCGATCCCGGTGG